CTCTATGACTATTTGAGAAGCGCTTCCACCGCCATTTTCTATCGGTAAATCGTAACAAAAACAGATAATGCCAATATATTTACATTTTTGTTTAAAACGGTATTTCGGGACTTTTTAAAAAACTTTATAATATTTAGGAGACAAAATGTCTTTGTCATCACAAGAACAAATAGGTTTAAATAAAACCTGGGAGTTGTCTTTGTACGAATTACAAAGAACTCCACAAGAAGCAATTACTGATCATACAGAAATTGCTGTGTCTCCTCGGTCTTTACACAGTGAATTAATGTGCCCAATATGTTTAGATATGTTAAAAAAGACAATGACAACAAAAGAATGCTTACATCGTTTTTGTAGTGATTGTATCATCACAGCTTTGAGATCAGGAAACAAGGAATGTCCTACATGCCGAAAAAAATTAGTATCAAAAAGGTCTTTAAGGCCTGATCCAAATTTTGATTTGTTAATTAGTAAAATATACCCTAGTAGAGATGAATATGAAGCTCATCAAGAACGTGTCATGGCAAAAATTAATAAATCACACTCTCAAGCAGCTTTAGTGAGTTCCATTACTGAAGGCATCAAACTTCAGTCACAAAATAGACCCAATAGGAAAAACAAAATAGGAGATGCGGATTCTGTAGATAGTTTAAGCAGCCAACCAAGTGCAGCTAATCAGAATTTATCCACCAATTCTGTGCAACCTCCAACTTCAACTTCTTTCGGTCTTGAAAATCAAACTTCAGGACAACCGACTCTTAACATACCTTGCTCTGCTCCTAGTTCATCAAGAACCAGGCCACCATCTTTATCTGATGACAGTCCAGGATCTCCTGATTCAGCAGGGTCAAGTGAATCATTGGCTGCTGATCAAATTGAACTGGTATTTATGCCTCATCCCACTGAAATGTTGGCAGATCCTTTAATGAGACGTTTGAAGGATTCTATTAGATACATTAAAACTCCTGACCATGCAACAAGTAAGTTATTAATTACATTTTTTTTTTTGTTATTATTACCAAAAAACAAAATTTATTGATTTTTTAAATTATGTTACAGTTGATCATCTAAGCAAATATTTAGCCATGAGACTAACATTGGACAATATGGACTCTGATTTATCTGATAGCTTAGGACTTGTTAATTTTTGTATTTATATTGCTCCAAGCCCAGGTCAGTTAATTTTATTAACTGGAAATCAAACTTTGAGACAGGTTAATGATAAATATTGGAAAGCAGATAAACCATTGGAAATGTATTATTCCATTAATAAAAAAACATGACTAAGTAATGTTTGTGTCGAGCCTGGATAAATTTGCTTAAATAAATTAAATACATTATAATCTGCAGGCAGGTGACACAAGCATAAAACCTATAATAATAAACTAATCTTTTGAAAGTAATCTGCAAGTTTTTAATATATATATAGAGTAAATTTTATTTTTATTAGGCCATTTCATTTGCTGTATTGTTATAAACACTATTACTTAAAATGCTTAAAGTCATTATTTATGAGGCTCCAGCTTTTATAAAATTTAAAAAATGAAAAAAAAAATTATTTTAATGTAAACTATTAGTAGTTTTAATGAAAAATTATCATTTTAAACTTTACATTTGTTATTTCACGAAGAGTTTGTGTAATATTTAGAATGATCATCAATAAGTTTCTTTGTGATATTTAAGTAGAGGAAGATATTTTTCATAAGGAATTTTTTAAAAGTAAAAATTAATTTCGACAAAATTTTTAATCATTTTATTAATTTAAATTATTATCGATAAACGATGGAGAGAATTTTAATGAAAGTACTTTATAAAATTCTATTCAAACAATTTTTTTTTTTTTTTTTTTTAAATTGTATAAAAATAAAAATTTTATTAATTTGAGGCAATTAATAATGTTTTTTTTTTAATAGCTTAATCGTATAAACTATGCAAATGATCTTCCAGCATTTTTTCTTGATCTGAAAGTAAATTATTAACTTAAGTCGACATTGTAATAAATATAATCATACAAATAATTATTTTGTAACTTACTTCTAGGCAAGGATCCAATGGTTAATTGTTTCTTTAAAAACTCCGTACAAAAATTTTTATCTACCCCTAATGCATGCATTGTGCAAATGAAGGTTCTAGAATAAAATGAAGTAAATTATTAGAAATATTTGCAAAAAAAATGTAGGTAAATGTTTTTTTTTTTTTTATATTCATTTAACATATTGAAAAATTTTAATTTAATTCTTTTGTGTTAATGAGATTTTTTTTTGTTTGTAAAATATTGTGACTTTTCTGTACAATGAAAATATATATATAAAGTATATATTTTAAAAAATTTTAAACGGATTAGATAGTTTATGTTGATCTATTATTTCATTCTATTCAAAAAAAATTAAATTTTAATTTACCCTAATTGACCAAAAGTAATGTTTTCCTGGTATTTTTCTTCATCCAGAAAAGTATTAATATCACCATTTAAGAGTTCCTGTTGTGTTAATACAGGTTTTTGAATTCTTACAGAATGTAAAGCATCGAAAAATGCAGCACTCCAAAATCTTAAATTTTGCCATATCGGTTGATTTTTAAGATAAGTAGCCAAATATTCTTGAAAGGGTTCACTTCCCGCCATTTCAACTTCGTGATAAAACGTTAAACACATATTCATTAAAGTTTTTGCTGGGGAAAAGTTTTCACTGTTGGCGCATTCGAAAAGAACTATAGCAAAATGTTGAACGAGTCTGTAAAAAGTCGTTTCTGACACTTTTTGCGTTTTGGCTCTTTGAAAATTCACTATTTTAGCAAACCATTTTTGTCCGGTTTCGGTTTCGACATATTTACCGAACATGTATTTTTGTTCTAGTGTTAAATCGTCTGGATTATTGAAAAGTGTTGACACGTATGATATCATAAAATTTTTAATTTCATTTTTTTTTTTTTTATCAATTCCCGTTTCTTGTTCATTTTCATAATATTTAATTGACAATTCAACAATCGGCATGCAACTGGTATCGTAAGTTTTCCCTTTCGGTTCTATTTAAATAAACATAAATAATTTATTTATAAAAAAAAAAAAAAAAAAAAACCAGGCTTTTTTCCACTTCCGTTAAGATAATTTCTTACACACAAACGCACACACAAAAAAAAAAAAAAAACGTTTTAATTAAATGCGAAATACAAATTAAAATAACAAAAGCCTGATTTTTTTTTTTTTTTTTTTTAATTATAAAAATAATCCAAATTAAAACAAATTGAATACAATGAAAATTTTACTGTTGTCCTTGAAATAAATGTAATAAAACGATATAATTTTTTTTTAGAAACATTTAAATACTAACATATTATGGATTTAATGATTTAACCCCTGTAACTAATCTTCTAAAACAATAATTATAAATTTTATACCGGAATGGAAAAAAGAAAATTAACATAAAAAAACATACCTATCATACTGTTGTTGAAAATAATTAAATAATCAATCAGACAAAATGGTAAGAAGATTTTAAAAACAAACAAAAAATTTGTTGAAGGTTATTTCAATAAAATATCTTTCTATGTACTTTTATGATGAGGAGACACTGTTTAAATTGTGTTAGACGTCATGGAAAAAAGCATTTTTTTTAAAAATATGTTACTCTCTCTCTCTCCTGTAGGAAAACAAAAAAATTTTTTTTTTAAAAAGAGTTAACGAATTCACCTGACGATGTTACGTCAATAACTGATTTTTTTTTTTAAATCGACCTGTTGTTTTAAGGTACTCTAATCAATATTTAACCTTGAAAAAAAAAAAAAAACAAATGATTTGCATTAAAAATTGTTTTTTTTTTTTTTTTTTAAATAATCCTTATTGATAACATGATTTTTTTAAAATAAAATCATCCATTATTGTTATTTAATTGTAAAAATAATAATCATGGCGGTGTATTTATTGTTGTATTATAATGCAATCATTTTAATAAACTTTAAAAAAAAAAATTTTTTTTAAATAATTTTACAGATACTTTGTAGTAAAATATTTGCATCATTCAATTTTTTTGAACTTTAGGGCGTGTAAAAAAAAAAAATTCTGGCCATCGTTCAACGTTTTTATAAAAACATCAGATCATCTCAATTTAGAAACAAATGTAAAAAAATCTCTAGGAAGTTAAGACCAGCTGAGTTTTTCTTGTGTCTCGAATCAAAATTTTTTTTCTATATTTACTCCCAGATTAAATATATTTTATTTATTTTTATTTTTAAGTGAATATTCAAAAGGCTATGTAGTTTGCCATTTTAAACAAAACTTTTTTTAAAAATTTTTTAGCAAAAAAAAAAAAAAAAAAAAAAAAAGAAAATGTTTGGAGTGAGTACTAAAGTTTGATTAAATTAAAAAAAAAAATTAACTTTATGGTTTTTTTTTTTTTTTTTAATTTTATTAACTAAATCTATTTATTATTATTATTATTTTGTTTTAATATTAATTTATTTAATCTTTATGTTTGGGTTTTGTTTTTTTTGTTAAAATTCCATTAAAAAAATAATCTTTAAAGTTATAAATAAAAACAAAGCCCTAGTTCTACATTTTGGAGATAAAACAACAGGAAATTGATTACAACAACAACAACAACAACAATAATATATAAAAAATAATTCTATTTATATATTTTGCCCTAAATTAAATAATTTTTTATTAAAATAATCAATATTAATCAATTTTTTTTTTTTTTTTTTTATAAATTTTTCACTTGTTGGTACAAACATTAAAAAAAAGTTTTGTAATTTATTTTTATAAAAAAAATTAAATTATTTATTGAAAGAATTTTTATATAAAATTTATAATAACATATATTTAAGTCAGAAATAAAATAATTGATGATTTAATTAAAATTTATTTTTAGGAGGAAAAAAAAAAAAATTTTCTTTTTACTACAGCAACAGCAACAACTTTCAACCTTGTTTATTTAAACATACAATTTAATATTAAACACAAAATTTTTTTTCCTGCTGACGTAAAACGAATGTCATTTTATATATATTTATATAATTTTCTTATTAAAAGAATTATCCTTGAAGTTTTTTTTAGATGCATCAAATTAAAAAAAAATTTTATTTATTTATTTGCTTAATTAAAATTATCACCTTATAATTATTTATAACAATTATCTAAATGTTTAATTTAACAAAAATGTTTTTACAAACATAAATTAAAGAATAAGTAATAAAGGGGAGGGGAGGGGAGGGGGGAATTTTTAATAGTGAAACATAATATCTTAATAAAATATAAATAGAATTTGATGATTTTTTATTTTTATAAAAAAAAAAATTCTGTTGTTTTATGTTTTGTTCAAATTGTAAAATTTTATACTAAAAGACAAAAGATAAAAAATTTATTTTGAGGGAAAAAACCCGGAAAAATTTGCTGTATTTAATGTTTTAAATTTTTTATATTAAAGATATTTAAAAAAAACAAACGAAAGGAAAACATTAATTTAAAAAAAGAAAAAAATTTTTACTTCACCAGACTTAAATAAAAAAAAAAGCCTGAATTTCTGGGTTATTTTAAATTTTTTCTGGCTAAAATCCAGATTTTAAAAATTTTAAACTTTTTTTTATTATTGCTAAAATGTTGACATTATGGGTAGATCAAAAATTAATTTTAAATAATTACACCTTAAAATAAAAATATATATATTTATAAAATTATAATTGGTTTTTTTTTTTTTTCCAGAATAATGAAAATTGGACTCCAAAAACAAAACTAAAATCAGGAAGAGTCATGCCACAATGGATGGTATAAAATAAATTTTTTTAAATTCTAATCAAAACATGTAAAATAGAAAAAAAAAAAAAACTTTAAGGAATTAATGTTGATTTTTTTTTTTTTTTTCCCTAGCAAAATGCTCAAAAAACTAAATTAAAAAATTTACCACCTCCAATACCGACATCAGAACCACCCATGGAAGGAGATTATGAAGTTATTGAATTTCCTGTTCAACAATATACCAATACAGCAATACCTTGTCAGCTACCTAAAAAAATTGGTGAGATAATTAGAAGGTTGTTTTGAAATTATTTTTCTGTTAAAAAGAAATTTAAAAAACAAATTTATTATAATTAAAACAGGAGAGGGAAAAATAAAAGATGGTAAACATTGTGATTTATGTGGAAGTTCTGAGCCTACAGTTAGATGCGAAAAATGTTCTTCACAAGTTTTTTGTTTGTCTTGCGACGATATGTACCATCGTCATCCAAAAAGACAATCTCACGTTAGAAAGGTAAAATAAATTTAAAATTTGCATTCGAAATAAAACATAATTATTTATTTTTACACGTGTGTGTTGTCTTCAGGGTATCGAATCTAATAGATTTCGTCCGCCATTACCTCCAAAAGGTGAATCGACTTCAGCTCCGGTTCCTCCACCGAGAAGAAACAAACGTCCAGGAAGTGCATCATCACTTGGTTCAGGCTCGAGAAGTAATCAGGTACGCAAATGCATCATTATGTAATAAATTTTTTTATTTTTAATAAATATTTATTAACTTACTTAAATTCTCTTTTTGCTAATTTTTAAGACTATTTCCTAAAATTAACTATGGACTATTAAGATGTTTTTTTTTTTTTTTTTGTTTATAAAATAATATTCCTATTAATTTTTTTCTTATCCTTATTGATTATTTAAAACCATCTTAAATTATTTTCTTCTTTATTTATTTATTTAACAAAACAAAAAACAAATGTTTGCTTCTTGGCCAATAATTATTTCTCAACAGGGTTTAACGACATTCTCAAGAAAAAATTTAATGGAAGATGTAAAACCTAATTTAATGAGAAGAAATCTTTTGACTCGACCTCTTCCGGACATTCCGATGAATGAAAATCGAAATCAGAGTAAGTACTCGGATAATAATTAAATAATTTAAAAAAAAAAAAAAAAAGCATTTACAAAAATCACGTTTGATATTTTAGCAGACCGAGAATCTCCATTTCCATCAAAATGGCAAGATCCCAATCAAAGCTCAAATAATTTTTTCCCAGAATTTTCATTTCAAGGAACGAATGATATAAGAACACCATATAAGAAAAATCAAGGATGGGAAACGGATAGTACAGGTGCACGAAATCGAATGGGAAGCGTAGCCGGATCAGAATTAAATCTTTCACCCAAAACTAAAACAAAATTTGATGGTTCCTCGATGACTGATACTTTAGGTAGAAGGAAAAGTGATGTGGATCCTTTTTTTCCTGCGGCTAATTCAAACGTAAATTTTGGTAAAGGAATGATGTCCAGTGCTTCGGTGACTGATTTGAATATAAATCCGATGCAACAATTTTCATTTAATCCAGCCATGCAGGTATTTTCCCGAAAATCCCTCAAAATAAAAGCATTTGTTTTTACCTTTCGTACTCATCAAGAAAATTACATTTAGGCTCAATCAATGTCTCATTTGAATTGTCCAACCTGTAATCAAGGATTTTGGATGGACAATTGGGAACACATTCGTGGAAGCAATATGGCTCTTCATGCACCACCGATGAAACCTTTCGAACAAGGATGGAACGGTCCGTGGCATCAGTATCCAGGATTAATACCTCACACTCATGGTCCAATGCCGTTTCCCCAACCAATAAATGTCGTTGGAGTACCTAATGTTATGGCAATAAATGGTAGAATTAGCAGACCACCATCTCCGGCGTTAAGTACGAGATCAAGGTCAGTTTATTATTATTATTATCCTTTTATTTAAAAAAAACAATTGCAGGAATTAAAATAAGTATAATCGTTTGTTTAAAAATGATTTAGAAAATCTTTTGCATCGTCTAAAGCAAATAGAAGAGCCCATAGATCTTCTACTTTACCACCTAGAGGACTGGAATTACCCAGTCACGATATTTCATCTTCGGATTCGGCTGAAGAAATGATGTCATTCAGTCAAAGAGACGATGGAGAAATCGATGATGATGAAGATTTTACTCCAATGAGTGGTTTAAAAGATAAACAACCGGAATCCGTGAAAATTCCCGATCATAAATGGGAATGTGAACACTGCACATTTGTTAATAAACCAGGAGTGCGAGTCTGTGCTATTTGTTGTAAAACGCCGACAAAAAATGTTAATTTTGTAAAAAACCAAAATGGTAAAACGAAAAGAAATCGTTTTAATCGCGGGAGTGAAAGTAATAATAATAATTTTCAGAAAATAAAAAATGAAAATAAAAAAGAAGGATTATTATCCTCGAGAAAAAATTCAAAAGTTGAGGCTGAAGTTGATGTAACAAAATCTAACGTGACTCAAGAATCAGAAGATGCCTTAGTTGAAATGTTCAATAAACCTCTAAATATATCGTCCAATACTGTATCAAATAAAAAAGGTATGATGAGGAAGATATCTTTCTGGCCGGGTATCAAGTTTTATCCGTGAATAAAATAACCATTTTATTATATCCTATTTTATTCTTATCATTTTGTTTACGAATGGATTTTTTTTTTTATATATAGAATAGTTTTTATTTAAATTTTTTTGTAACCGATACAAATTTTCTTTTAAAAACGAGTACTAAAATTTTATAGGGAGAAGTGCAGACGATAAGAAGTCTTCGACAAGTAAAAATACTAAAGATAATAGACAATCAGAACAAAGTGATTCGAACGACTCTTCCGAACGGGACGTAAACGATTTTATAGATGATCCTTTTATTGATAATTCCTCATCCGAAAAATCGTCGTTTAATTCCTCGTCGTCCTCGAAATCCTCCAAGTCTTCGACCTCTCCTCAAACTAATAACACAACCCCACAACAAAAAATAATAAAAAATTCTAAAGTTTCGTCAAAACATCAGCAATCAAAAGAATTCAATAGCAAAAGATGTGTTTCTCCCTCTAAAAATAACAAAGAAAATAAATTTAAGTGCGATTTAGTTATACAAAAAACATCAAAAAATGATGAAAAAGTTGAAAAACTAAATAATAATTGTGAAAAGGCTATAACGATTTCGGCCAAACAAGAAGATGATAATAATAATAATAATAATAAATCACAAACAACAAAAACGACAACAACAGTTGCTGTTGGATCGTCTCCACCGACTGAAACGGAAAAAATACCAATAAAAAAAATGACTTCTTCAACTGGAACCTCTCCCCCTCCTCAAAGTGCTGCCACTCAGGTAGATATGTTTAATTTATCATAATTGCAAATAATTTTTAAAGCAGAAGACAATACAAAATGACATTCATCTCTTATTTTATTGTATTACAAAAACAAAAAATTTTTAAATGAATTTTTGTTTTCCAGACTTATGATTTACCACAAAATTTTTTGGAAGAAAGAATTAAAGACAAAATATTTATAGAAAATTCTCAACACAGAGATTTATTGGCACCTGATAACGTAAAAAGTAGAAAATTGAGGAGGGCAATGTCTTTATATATGAAACCAGATTCATGGAGAAAATCTCCCATTCTTTCTAAATTCCAAAGTAGGCATTCATTAGTTAGTGATTCGGAGGTAAAAAATAAGTGAATTTATCGAATGCAAATTTGGAATTTAAAAAAAAAAAAAAAAAAATAATAATAATAATAATAATAATTTTAAATTGTTTTAGAGTTTGCCATTTAATTCCGAATTGGATTACATACCCACCATTTATAATAAAAATAATTTTAGAGACGTGAGTCCAAGCGAAATGTCTTTTAGTTCTTACATAAGAGGAGATGAATCAGATGTTTATCAATCTGATATAACTCCAGAAGATTTCGAAAATGTCAAATATTCGGAAAAAGTAAATTTTCCCTTCATTAAAAAAAAAAAAAAAAAAAATTCGAGTGACTAATTTATATTATTAATTTTTTTTTTTGCAATTTTATTTATAGAAAATAAAAAGAAATTTTTCCAACAGTAATTTAGATCCCGAAATTTTGGATAAAATAAAATTTTTAAACAGTAAAGGACACAAAGAAAAAATTGGGAGAAATCAACGGGATACTTTAAAAAATCAAGGAATGCAATTTGTTCGTTTATTACGCGTAAGATTCTATCTTAAAATTTATTTAATAAATTAATTATTAAATTATTAATAACATATATTTAACTTATTGATTGATTTTATTTCAGGAAGCAGAAAAAAATAATTTTACAACGGAAGATCTTGAAATAGCATTTGAACATTGCGAAAATGAAAATCCGATCGTTTGGTTGAAAAACAATTACAAAAACATTATAGATACTGTTGTTACATTGGCAACAAATTATGGTCGTGAATGTAAAGAAAATTCTGTTGGAACTGTATCTCAATTGGAAGCGAGAAAATCTTTGCATGCTTCTAAAGGAGTCATTTGGGCAGCAGTTAATGATTGTGTGGAAAATCGACAGAAAAAGGTGATTTATGGATTTATTAAATAAAATTAAAACCCTCCTCTGTTTTTGTATTGTTTTTATTATTGGAAAATCTTAAAAAGTTTTTTTTTTTTTTTTCTTTACAGTTCAACGAACTAGCTTCTAGAGGTAATTTTACGAGGGAAGATATTTTAACCGTTTTAACAGCCAATCACGGAGACATAGAAATAGCTTATTCCGAACTAAAAAAAATATCAAACGAATTTGTTAACAATCCTCCGGATAAAATTGAAAAAAAAATTAATAAAAAAGAAAAAATTACACAAAAAAAAAATAATGATGAACCCGGTAAGGAATTATAGAAACATGAAATTTCCAGGTCATTAATTAAACTTCAGAAAACCCTTTCTTTACAGATAATAATTTTCCAATGGAAACAAATCAAATAAATGAATTTGATCAATTCAATATTCAATCTGAAAATGTATTAATTAATAACAAATCTGACAAAAGGAACAACAATTCATTGAAAAAACAAACCGATGATAAAATTTTAACTAAAAATTTTTCGGAGACTAATCAAATCATAGCCGATATTGAAAATTTAACTAAAGAAATTAGTAACATATCATTCGAAGACAATAAAAAGAAAAAAAATAGTCCAAAATCATCTTCACCCTTACCGGTTAATGATTTATTTTCTATTAATTTTAATAAGCTATTTGAAATTGATGAATTTAAAAATGATAGCCGACATTCTTCAACATCTAAATCTATTTCATCTGATTCAATCGATTCACCATCATTAAAATCTCAGAATAAAAATGATGAAAAAATACCCGATGAGGTAGAATCATCAGAAGAATTTTATTCAGATGGCTGTTATGAATCCCATTGTAGTGATTCAAATAATTCAACTTATGATTATGGTGAAAATTATTTAAAAGACATGGAAAATATCACAAGTGAACCACCTGCTTTTTCGAATACGGAAGAGTTAAAGGAAAACAAAGAAAATCAATTAGAAAACGATGAGGAAAATCAGTTGGAAAAAAATAATAATAAAATTCAAACCATTTTGAAAATTCTTCAAGAGGGAACGGAAAGAATAAACGGATTTTTAAAAAATGAAAATAAAAATTTGACTAATTTTCAAGAGAATAAATCCGAACCGACTGAATCTTCAAACGGTGTAAAAAAAAATATTGTAAAAGAAACAAAAAAATCTAAAAAAAAATCTAAAATAAATGATGATAAATTATCACAAAATGATGAAATTGTAAATGATTCTCAAACTATTCCAACAACAACAGCAACAACAATTTCCAATGAGACTTTGAATGAATCATTAAATAATGAAATTATTACTGAAAGTGAAAATATAAATGTACCTGATAATGTTCAGGTACAAGAAGAGACTATAAGTATTAGTGAAAAAACTGTAGAAAAAACCCTGGTAAATAATTTAAATCAAGGTGAAGAAGAAGTTATACCTGTTGCCACAAATGCAAATAATAATAATAATAATGTAGAAATTTCCATAACTGAATCAATCAATAAATTAGATGAAGAGCAAAAAGATACAGAAGAAAGAGATGCAGTAGATAAAAATTATGAAAATAATAATCAAATAAATGAAATTGAAATAGATGGTTCAATAAATGAAAATAATGTAGAAGACAATGATGATGATGATGATGATGATTATAATTTTGAGGTAAAAGAAAGTGTGGTTTGTTACTTTGTCTTTGGTATCACTTACAGGTACACTAATTATACAAATAAATTAATAAATGTACTAAATAAAACTTTATTTATAGCGTCAGGCAAGAAGGTATTTGGCAGAAGGTATAGTTCCATCATATGAAAAAGCAGAAATTCTTGTTAAACTTTTAAATTTTGGTTTCGAAGAAGAGGATGCTGAACAAGCAGCTTTAGAATGTGGAAGTGTTGATTCTGCTTTAGCATATTTACAACAGGAATGTGAATTATGCATGGGAAGATATCCAATGAAACAAGTAAGAAATGATTGATTATAATCATCTTGGAAAATGACAGCAATAAAAACATTAACTATGCTAACTTTTTTTTTTAAAGATGATTTCAATGTTAAAATGCACTCACCGATGCTGTAAAGAATGTGCTAAAAATTATTTCACTCTCATAATAACAGACAGAAATATATCTGATGCCATTTGTCCATTTTGTAAAGAACCAGAACTTAATGAAGAAGATGTAATTTTAGAATATTTTAGTAATCTTGATATTTTACTTAAGAATATATTAGATTTTAATATTCACGAACTTTTTCAAAGAAAATTGAGAGATAGAACTTTAATGAAAGATCCAAATTTTAAATGGTGTGTTCAGGTAAGATTTTTAATATTAAAAGCAAAATCAGATTATGGATTTTTATCGTAAATTTAAGAAATTTGAATTTAAAAAAACTTACGTGTTATAGTGTTCGTCCGGCTTTATTGCAAATCCTCGTCAGAAAAAATTAACATGTCCGGATTGTAAATCTGTTTCTTGCGCCATTTGCAGACTACCAGTAAGTTTCAAAACTTTTTAAAAACTTATTTCTTTTCTATATTATAAAAATTAAACATAGAGTTTTTAAACAAATTTTTTTTTTAGTGGGAAAAACAACATGAAGGTATTTCATGCGCACAATTTAAAAATTGGAAAGATGCAAACGATCCTGAAAGACAAGCTGAAGGAGTTGCTAAACATTTACAAGAAAATGGTATAGAATGTCCAAATTGTAAATTTCAATATTCATTATCAAGAGGAGGCTGCATGCATTTTACTTGCACTCAATGCAAGTAAGATATTTTGATTAACCCAAAAACAATTATTATTTCATTTTGAATCATTTTCGGGTATAAAACTTTATTTTCTTTCAGGTACGAATTTTGTTGCGGTTGTGGAAAACCTTTTAAAATGGGAACAAAATGTGATGTGAGTCAATATTGTGCTAAATTAGGACTTCACGCACATCATCCCCGGAATTGTTTGTTTTATCTAAGAGACAAAGAACCTGGGGAATTGCAACATTTGTTAAAGGTTGCTTCTTTTATTATTTACCCCCTTTTTATTCAAGTTTTTTCTTGTTAATCAAAACATGTTAGTGTATATATATATTGTAAACTATTATATTTTGTTTACAGGAACACAAAATTGATTTTTTGGTAGATCCACCGGAAAATACAAAATCTCCCAATAAAAATAATGAATTAAATAAACTCAGATGTCCTATTCCAATACAAAAAGAAATGCCAAAGGGATTAATAGACACTGTTTGCCATTTGCCAGTTGAAGAAGGACATGCTGGATTGTGCAGGTCTTTTAATATACTTAAATTTCTTTTTGATAAAATAGTCTTTTAGTTTTTTTCAAATAAATAAAAGCAGTAATTTTTTCATTCGGTAATAAATAGTAATAATAGTAAGGTATGGTATTAAAAGTTCTTTTCATAAGTGGAAACCATTTTCCAATGATAACTTCTATTACAGAAAACACTACGTAGAATATTTATGTACTTTAATTAGAAGAAATTCATTGGAAACATTAAGTATTCTTAATTCAGATGATTTAGAAACTGTTGTCAAGAGAGAACATAAGGGCATGCCTCCAAAATATTATGGGATACCAGATAATGTTTACAGGGAAAGCTTGCTAAAGGTAGTAATCGTTTTTTGTTTTTACCAGAACTCATTACATCGAGTATCTCGTCTCGGTAATATCGAAGAACAAAATCGATCCGATATCCATCCTCGATATAGCTGACGTTTTACAAGAATTAAAAAGACGAGGCCGAGAATTCCCTCCCAGGCCGGAACGTTGTACGGAATATCAATATAAACTCATATGCGCAAAGGTTAGGAAATAAAAAAACCTAAAACCCTTTACTTCATCGTTAACGTACAAATTACGCATTACTCTTTTTTTCTCAAAAAATAATATTTAATTAATTTTTTTAAAGAAATGCTTATCAAGGTTTACATTAAAATAAATACCCATAAATCTATTAAAACAAAAACTCGATAGATAATCCAAATTTTAATATTATTCGATTATGGTAAAGAAACAAACATTATTAACGATATCAATTCTAATTTGTTAAAATTTTAAAATTTTAGGTAGTCAAGGAGGAAATACCATTAGAATAGATTAAGAAGAAAATAAAAACTCAAAATATTTTAAAAATAATTAGGATTTAATTTAAAAAATTGACTGATTTATAATATTTATCGTTTGCTGATTAAATTCAAAAAATCACTTAAACTACTTTTTTCACCGATTTTTGTTTTTTCCTTTAGAGCATTTTGAAGGATTGACATTTTTCTTTTATTATTAACTAATTTTTTCTTTGAATTATTATGAAAATTATTATTCGAGTTTAGACTTTCTTTAGTTGTTATTATTTTATTATTATTATTATTTTTTGAATTAGATTTTCTTTTATTTAGAGTTTTTAATTTACAATTCGACTTTGTGTTTTGTGAATTATGGCTGCTGTTAAAAAAAATAAAAAAAATAAAATTAATCTCAAATCTGTGATGAATTAAATAATAAAAATATATTTGTTTTAAATAAAAGTATTAGAATATTCACCTTGATTCTTTTCCTGTTGTATTCTTTAATTGTAAAGCAGCAGATTTACAAGCACTTGGATTTAAATTGGCAAAACAGTTTTTCTTTTTTTTCTTCTTTTTTTTAATAGTTTCACTAATTGTTGCCAAATCATCATTTTTACTACTACATTGAGGTTTGATTAATGAAAATAATGTTATCCTTTTACATAGTTTACATTTTATAGCCTAAAACAATAAAAATATAAATTATTAAATTTTTATAGATTTTATTTCAAATAAAAGAAATTGTAAAGGGTGGAATTCGACTACTTTGAAATTTAAATTTATTTCTTTTTTTTACAATTGTAATTATTGTGGTAGTTTTATCCTTGTGACTTACCAATTTATTTTTTGTTACTTTTTCAGATGTATGACTTGTTTTAAAATTTTTACCAGTTGAGGGTAGTAACTTAAATGAGTAAACATTTGCTTTCCATGAAGTAAAACAAAAAGGACAGCAAAAATTTTTATTGGTAAAACATTTGGGTAGTTTAAGATTATATTCCGAAGCTAAATTTGAAGAATGAACCCTGTAAAATAATTACTCAAATTTAAAATTTAAAGTTTTAAAAATGTTTTAAGTATTGTCAATCAATAATAATAATGAAATTAAAACATTGTGATGCTCGTACAAAAACTTACCTTAAATAGCTACGTAATACGGTATAAGATTCGGGTAAATAATTACAGCTACCGAAAAGCAAAAACGATAATTTATTCTCTTCAAATTCTTCGTTCATATTGAAAGTTTAAAAAGTTAAAAATATTTTAAACACAATTCATAAAAAAATTAATTGATAAAAATTATTAAAACTTTCATTTGTTTATATTTCTGATTAGACGTAATCAGAATCGCTTGGAATTAAAAAAAAATTAAACCCGTTTTAAAATAATTCATCAAAACCCTAATTTTACTCCAGACTGCTCAATGTTAATTTTAATTTAAAAATTAAAATTAATTATAATATTTTATTTACAAAAAATTATTATTGTACTATTTTAAATAAAATAAATAGAATTTTTTTTTAATTTTCAGATATCCTACACATTTATTTACTCTATGATAAAATTTTCTTTTAAACGAATGGTAAGCGTCTATACTAAAAATTAACGCTCGTATTAAGACTTGTGCACGTGGACCTGCCGAAATATGAGTTCTGAAGGTTTGTTTTGTTATATTTTCTACAATAGAAATTATTATTTTATTATAAATTATAGTTTTAATAAACTTTTCATTTACTTTTTTCTTTGTCACCATAAATTTAATTTCCTTATTGTCTTAGCCGGCACAAAAATTTATTATGTTACATTTTTAGGTTCAGCTAAAAAAGTTAAAATCAAAAAAGAAAAATATTTTGTGGGCGAGTTACAACAGAAGGGTGATTTTGCTGTAGAACCTTCTCAAGCAGTTGTTAAACTTGAAACTTCAGACTGGCCTTTGTTGTTGAAAAATTTTGATAAGTTAAATGTCCGCTCTAACCATTTCACTCCATTACCGTTTGGGTGTTCGCCTTTAAAAAGGGAACTAAAAGATTATATAAGTGGCGGTTATATCAATTTAGATAAGCCAGCTAATCCCAGTTCCCATGAAATTGTGGCATGGATCAAAAGGATTTTGAAGGTTGAAAAAACTGGTCATTCAGGAACCCTTGATCCTAAAACAACAGGTTAGTTTTTTATTAAATTTTTTTTTAAATGGTATGTATTTATGGAAGTATAATTTATATTCATTGTTTTTAGGATGCTTGATTGTTTGCATTGAAAGGGCTACAAGATTAGCCAAATCTCAGCAAACAGCGGGAAAAGAATATGTATGCATTTTTAAATTACATTCTTCAGTTGATAGCGTTGACTCAGTTAGAAGAGCTCTTGAAAAGTTAAGAGGACCTTTATTTCAAAGACCGCCATTAATTTCTGCTGTTAAAAGACAGTTAAGGGTTAGAAATATCTATGATAGTAAATTAATAGAGTATGATATGGAAAAAAATCAGGGGATTTTTTGGGTTAAATGTGAAGCAGGTACCTATGTAAGAACAATGTGTGTTCATTTAGGACTTCTATTAGGGGTTGGTGGTCAAATGATAGAATTAAGAAGAAATCGCTCAGGTAATTTTCCACTCTTCATAAATTATTACGTTTAGTTTTAATCTTTACACAAATTCATTGAAAATTTCTAATTTTTTTTTTTTTTTGGTCAATTTAATATTATTATTGAAAAAACTGTGAATGTATTTCAAATGTTTTTAACTACTTCTTATCAATTAATTAAATTTATTCTTAAAACTTCAATTAAACAGGTATTCAAAGTGAAAGTGATGGTTTGGTAACTATGCATGATGTATTGGATGCTCAATGGGTTTATGACAATTATAAAGATGAATCTTATTTGAGAAGGGTAATAAAACCATTGGAAGGTTTACTTGTTCAACATAAAAGAATTATAATGAAAGACAGTTCTGTGAGTGCTATATGTTATGGTGCCAAAATAACACTGCCAGGTGTACTAAGATATGAAGACGGGATTGAACTTGGAGAAGAAATAGTTATTGTAACCACAAAGGGGGAAGCTATTTGCATAGGTAATACAATAAAGTTATAAAACAAAATTTTTTTATCAGAAAAAATTATATTTTTTGAATGAAAAAATTTTAAAAATAATTGCAGCCAATGCTTTGATGACCACAGCAACTATTGCTAGCTGCGATCATGGGGTAGTGGCTAAAATCAAAAGAGTTATTATGGAAAGAGACCTTTACCCAAGAAGGTGGGGTCTGGGGCCTAAGGTACTGTTTTTCATACAAATATTTATTATTACAAAAACCATGAGTGAATAAATAATGAAAAGAATTTATGTTATAGGCATCCATGAAAAAAAATATGATAAAACAAGGACTTTTGGATAAATATGGTAAACCGAATGAAAAAACCCCTAGTGATTGGCTCACATCTTATGTTGATTACAATACTTCAGTTAAAAAAGAACCTGAATCAGAACCTTCACTACCTACTAAAAAGGTGAGTACTAAATCAAACATTTATAAATAATAATGTTTAATGAATAATTTTAATATGATTTTAAAATTTCAATTTTCAGAGAAAGTTAAGCGATTCCAGTCAAATGGATACAAGCGTGGATCAATCGCAAATAACTTCCGAGTCAACAAAAAAAGATAAGAAAAAGAAGAAAAAGAGAAAAAAGGATGATGAAGAAGCCGAAGAACAGGAAGCAAATGAATCAAGTTCAGAGGTATTTATTTTTTTAATTTTATTCTATTATTAATTATAAACTGATTATTAATATCTTTATTTATTTTTACATAAACAGGCAGTAAAGGAGAAAAAGAAGAAGAAGAAGAAAAATAAAGACAAAGACAAAGACAGAGAAGCAAAAGATGAAGAAACCGAGTAAAAATTGTTTTAATTATATAGATTTTTATGAAATAAAATATAAAAAATAAATTTTTTTGTAACTTTTTCAACATTTTAAACGAATACATAAGTAAGTAAGTTTTTAAATAAAACTTTTTTTATTAGAATTAAATGGTACGAGTAATAAGTACAAAAAATCATTTAGTGATTTACAAATTTTTTAAAAATGTGGGAAATAATTTTAATATTAACACTTAAAATTTGGAATAACCAAGTAAATAAAATAAGAGTTTGGTTAAGTTTAGTTTTCTTATTATTTTTTTTGATATTATTTTTATTTTATTTACGCAGTATTTGTTATAAAATAAGCTAGCAAGTTTTGTTAACTATAAAAACTTCAATACTCTTTATATCTGAAAGTGTTTATGAAACTTTCTATAAAATTAAATAAGGTAAAGTGGAATAATGGAAATTAATCAGGTGCAAATAAAAATATCGATAAACTGTTTTTATTTTAATTTCTTATATTTTACTATAAGTGGTAAGATAATTACACTCGAAAATATTTTACTTATAAATACTTTAAAAAGGAACTTTTATTCAAAATTTAAAAATTCATTATTTTACAAATTTTTAAATTTTCATATTTAAAAAAACTATATAAAATAATAATAAGCAAATAAAAATTAAAAAATCAAAAAAAATTAAATTTTATGTATTATAAAAATTTATAATCTTATTTATAATAACTTTATTTCTTAAAAAAATATTTCAACTTGAAACATAAATTTTTTTTTTTCTACAAACAATAATATAAAAACTTTTTTATTGTTAATAAAGTCAGTAAAAGATTTATTTTACTGCAAAATAATTTTTTTTTATAGAAAATTCAAGTTTGAAAATTGATAAATATGACCATTATTATTATTATTTAGGTCATGTTATCCTCTAGTTACCTGGATGGTTGATTTTTCGGCTTTGGCATTTTAGCTAACAAATTAGGAATTTCTTTTTTTTCATCATAAGATTTCCACAGTTCGAATAAATTTATTAAATGTCTAGCTATCTCTTGAATTTTTTCCATGTCTACATTTAATTCGGCAAACCAAGTTTTTAAATCCTTTTGCAAAATGACACATGCTATCTGAAGACATCCTAATGCAATTTGATAAGGAGGATATAATAAACATACATCAGTTCTCAAACTATCATTGACAACTCTCCAAGCTAAGGCCATCATTTGATCTTCATGACCATTTCCAATATCTGCTATTAGAGATAACAATGGACGGTATGGCTGATACAATATCAAACAACAATCTAAATTTTCAAGCAAATAAAATTCACACTCAAGAATGTGATTTGTTCTGTATGGAAATTCTTGAGCATATGCATAGCTGAATTTATTTTTAACTTAAAAAAAAACAAAATTTAATTAGTTTTTCTTTTTTTTGTTTCAGAAAACGATAAAGTATTATTAATAAAATTCATTCTTCAAGATACATACCGACATTTTGACAGATTGTAATCAACCTGGTATTTGAAATGACACCAAATTCTTCCACTTTGGATGCGAGAAACACACAAGTAGGTGCTAATAGTAAAGGATCAATACATTTTAAAGAATTTCTAGCATAAAATCTTTTAAAGTAAACAGTAGCAGTAGCTATAACTTGTTGTCTTAACTTTAATTGTTCACCCAAAACTTGTATAACTAAAAAATTTTTTGATTTACATTATTCATATTAATAAGTTATGATTTAATTAATGTTATGCCTTTTAAAAAATAACTATCAAATTATTTTTAATAAAATTTTTTTTTTCTTACAGTTTGAAAAAAAGATAAAAATTTTTTGATATTCTTCTTCAGTTAGAATTTGTAAATCATGATGTCTTTCTCTAATCAAGTCCTGTTTGTCTAAAATCCACTGCTGACTAAAATAAATAAAATTTAAAGTTATTTAATTCATTCGGCTATAATACGAAAAAAAAGCAAGTGATGAACTTACTAATGAGAACTTTGCCAGAAATTTCCAGCCATTTTACATAAACATAATTTGTTTAAATAATATGAAGAAAAAAAAAAGGTAAGACGCTTTATATAAATTCCTTACGGTTTCAACAGGGTTGCCAACAACAAATTAAAAAAATTTAACCGAACTAACCGAACTTTTGCCTCTCAAATCTATCAAATTTTTATTTTATTCAAAACGTACGTGATGTATATTTTACTTTTTTTATATTTATTTGAAAAGCAGGAAATTTAATAAAGGTAATGTAAAAAAATTTTTCATTGCTCATTTAAGTCGCTATTGTTTCAAGTAGATAAATTTAAATAATAGAAAACAAATTTTTTTAAAAGTTATTTTTTATTTTTTATATATACTAATAATATAATTAACATAATTAGCTTTTAATTGTATAATTTATTATTAACTTATTATTAACTTAATTGCAATAATTTATTTGAAAAATTTATTAAAATTACAGAAAAATAAATTATCAATTGCCTACAAAAATTACTATAACTTAATAATAATTAATAATACAATAACATTAATTAAATATAAAAAAAATTTATAAACTGAATTTTGTAAGAAAAGTTATATAATTAATTTATGAAAAATTTAAAAAAATTTTGAAATTTTTTTATATTTGTTTTTAAACAACTTTTCTGCTACAAAAATAGTTGATATAAATAATAGCAAAAAAGCACTTCCTTCAATTTGTTTGCTGTTAATTATTTAAATATGCATTCTGAATGGTTTGATTTCAAATTGATTTATTTTTTAAATTTATTTAATTATTAAATTGTAATTAAATAATCATTATTATACATAGTTATTCAAGTAAGCATAAATCATCTATAATCAGTGGGTAATAGGAATTACTGGGAAATTATAATTTTAAAAATGAAAATAATAAACATATCATTAACAATTTGAAAATAAAAAATTTAATCTATAATTCTAAAAAAAAATTAATTACTTTTATCTGAAAATTTTTTCATAAATATTTAACATGCAAAATTTATAAACAAAATAATTAACATAAAACTAAAATTACTATAGTATGATGAAACTAAGGAAGCTGAATTATTTTCATAATAATATTTAGCAACAGCATCATTTGGATTTCCATTTTTCGAATCAAACCATATTTTCATACAGGGTTTCTCATCTAAAACTACTTTCCATGAATGATCCCATATCTATTTAATAAAAATTAATCGATATTTATTTATTATTATTAGTGAACTGAATTAAAATTTATTTTAAAGTAATTAAATGTTTTCTGTTAACAATACTTTCAAGCAGTAAATTTTCAAATGTATAAATTACATTTTAAATTGATTGTATGTTCATATGAAAATATGACTACAAGTTATTACCTTTTCGCAAAAATTTGTTGAATTATGAAAAACATTTTCAAATGTTTCACAAGTTTCTTGGTTAGGACATTCATTTCCTTGAGGAGTCCATTTCCAGCCTCTCAGCCAATTACTGCTACATGTATAATCGTTCTTGCATGCATTATACCAATCGGAGCAATCGCTTTGACACAAAGGCACATTAAAAAATCTCTCTTTTCTTATTTTCATGTCAACCTAAATTTAATAATATTAAACATAAAATATGTTTTTAGCTAAAGATAAAATATTTTTAATCAAATACTTAAAAACTCGAAAAATAAAAAACTGTGTGAAATACAAAGAAATATATCTATTTTTAAAAAAATTTTAAATGACCTATGCCCTTTTAGGTTATCAATTTAGAATTTTAGGTAAGGAGCTATTATGTTCTCTTTTTAATTTATTTTAATTATTTATATAGAAATTTTATTCTTTATGCAATTTGGTATTGAAAATTTTTAAAATCAAAAGAAATTACCTGAACTAGCCATGGACCTACATTAGGAGAACATTCATAAAAACATAAATCTTGAATAAAATGTTTTCTGCATTCATCAGAAAGAGGTTTAATAGAAGAACAATGGTTGTAATTGAAATTATGATGCAAAGGTTCGTGTACGCTTTTAGAAGTTGAATTTGAACAACAGCTTCTGTATTTCCATGGAGTACATTGTGAATATAATTCCGATTCAAATCCTGGCTCTTTTTTGTGATATTTACCATCAAGACAAGTATTCAAAACATTAGAAGCAGGAGTTTCTCTTCCGAATGTAAATGGAAGGAGCCAAATAAAAATTAAAGTGTAATACAATAAATTTTGCTGGTCCATGCCTGCAACAAATGTAGTCTTATTCAGAAAAAAAATTGTATTTATTGTTTTTGATCAGAGTAAGTTACAAATTAAATACAACATTTTAAATTTTTTATGCTTAAATTAAAATTTATTAAAATTATTTTTTGATTCATAATTATTTTACTTTTATGTAATTGCGTCAAATGTTTTATTGAAAAAATTTAATGATTTTGCTTTTTTCTAATGATTTTCACTTTTGATATAAATTACAATTTTAACGTTTTGTTAATTTCATTTTGCTTTATAAAAAATTAACTTTTTTAAATAAATATACATAATTTTTTTTTTTTTTCAATTAAATGAATAAGATGAAAAGAATGAATATTGAAATTTGATGAATTTGTGTCTACTATCTTTATCTAACGAAAAATAACGGTTTTTAAAATACACATTTACAAAAAATAATTTTATTAAGACTAGAATAATCCATAAATACGGATTAATAAAATTATTAAAAAAAAATTCATACTTTTTATCCAGATATTTAACTGTCTACATATATATGAAATATAATAATCCCAAATTCCAAACTAATCACAACCCCGGCTCAGCTTAACACTTTCTTTTTTTTTTTTCGTTTGTACTTTGATCCAAATTATCATTTTGTAATGTTTGTCGGACTGACTATTCAAAATGGTGAAATTACAAAAAAATGTATCAATAACTTGTTTTAACATGTATCAGTAAAACTGGTAAATTCTTTCTTTACCAATTATAACCTATAAAAAATGTACTATTTATAAAAGTAATCTATAGTGTCGTTAAAAAAATTTATAATCAAAAGTTAACAGTTGCTTTTATTCAAACAAATGACTAACGAAACAGATGACATTTTAATAAGATTAAGGAGATGCAAGAGTGTCACTCAAGCCGAGAATATACAAAAGGTTGAAGCTGAATTAAGGCGGGCACAACTTGATAGACCGTAAGTGTTTTTATCTTTGTAAAAATTATGGTAAATATGGTTAATAAAACCACTCTAACTTATGTTTCAGATGTCACAAACCGAGGGATTCGTTATTTTCTTGGTCGTCTGGATTTAGTAACTTTACGGGTTTTATAAACTGGGCCTTTTTGCTTCTTTCTGTCGGGGGTTCTCGATTATTTTTGGAAAACATAATAAAATATGGTGTTAGAGTTGATCCATCACAATGGCTAATTTTAATTACAGGAAGTCAAGAAGGCGGCCCTGAACATTTGTCCATAATGCTTCTCCTTTGTGAGTTACAAAGTTTTTTTGATCATCATGAGTTTTATTATTCTGCTAATATCAACTTATAAATAATAAAAATTAAATTTTATCATGATAATTATTTTATCCCTTTTCAGATTCTGTTGTTCCAGTATTGATATGCTACACATTAGAAAGGGGTTTATCTAAAGTAAGTAAATATAAGATTCCATATATAAATTTTAATAGTCGCTAAAATTAACGATTATATTATTTGTAATATTATTTAATATTTTATTTTAATATGTATGTACATATATATTTTTTTTAAAGGATATTATCAGTCATGGTTTAGGTAGTTTCATTCACATCCTTAATATTGTTTTGCTTATCATTTTACCTATGGCAGTTATTCATCTCAGAGCAGATGGGTTTAGTTTAAGTAAGTTTGTTGTAATAACTTAAAAAGTATTATTTAACATAATTATTTTTAATATTTAATATATTTAATTAAATACCATTAACAAAATAATAGATTTTAAACTACCATTTAAAAATTATTTATAATAAAGCCTTCCTTTTTTTTTAGTGAATCGCTTTTGTGTAAAAACTATATTGTTAAAATTTATATCAAATTTCAGTTAAAAATTTCTAAAATTAGGTAATATTATTCAAAATTGCATCTTTATGTTAAACACAACATTATTAAATTTTAACTTTTAAAATACTCAAAAAAATTTGTTAACGAAAAATTATAATGTAAAATTTAATTTCATACCTGATTATGACTTTAAGTATTTTTTTTTTTTGCTAGTGGAAAATTTATTATTTTCCTACCTGATTCACATCAAGACTGAATTATTAGTTTTTGGAATTTATTTATTTTCAATTTGTTAAACACATAAATAATTCTTGTAATAATTTTTTTTATACTTTTCCAGCTAATTGGGTTATTTGATATCCTATAGGGAGAATTTAAATTATTATCGTGAAAAATTTTTTTTTTTTTTTTTTTCCAGTTGGAGCGTCTGCAGTCTGTTTCACTTACTCCATATTATTTTTAAAACTTTGGTCTTACATTCAAGTAAATATGTGGTGTCGTTTAAAAACGGATTCTTTAACCAAAAATAAAAAAAGGAGTATGTCTAGCACTAGATTAGGTAAACTCTCTCTCTTTTTTAATTTTTGTTTTTTTTTTTTTTTTTTTTCAATACTCTGATAATGGAACGATAATTAACAATAATTACTCATTCATAATTCTCAGATTCTGAAGCTAATGGTAATCATTTTACGGATGAAGAAATTGAAAAAAAACTCGTCAAATATCCCGACAATCTTACGTTAAATGATTTAATTTATTTTATATTAGCACCGACATTGTGCTACGAATTAAATTTTCCTAGAACGTGTAGAATAAGGAAAAGATTTCTTATAAAAAGGGCCTTGGAAGTTTTAGTAGGATTTCACGTTCTCGGTGCCTTATTTCAACAATGGATCATACCTTCTGTTAAAAATTCACTTATACCTTTTTCAGTAAGAATAATACACACGTATAAACATTTTTTTATTTTTAAAGAAACTGAGAAATGAAATGAAAATTTTTTTTTCAGAATATGGATCTTGCCAAAGGAACGGAAAGATTGTTAAAGCTTGCGGTATATATATAATTTTAATTTTTTTTTTTTTTTTGATTACATTCTCTCGTAATTATTTATAAACAGAAAAAAAAAAAAAAAATTTTTTTTCAATGTTTCAGATTCCCAATCATTTAGTTTGGCTTATTTGGTTTTATTTGTTTTTTCATTCTTTTTTAAATTTACTCGGAGAATTGCTTCATTTTGCGGATCGTAATTTTTATTCGGATTGGTGGAATGCAAATAATATAGATACATTTTGGAGAACTTGGAACATGCCGGTTCACAAATGGGCTGTCCGACATTTGTACATACCTCTCGTCGAATTGGGTTACAGTAAAAATTTCGCTGCCATTTCTGTTTTTTTCCTAAGTGCTTTTTTCCACGAATATTTGGTTAGCGTACCTTTGAAAACTTTCAAACATTGGGCATTTTTGGGAATGATGTGGCAAGTATGTATACCGTTTTTAAAAATTTTATTGTCATCGCTACTATTTTTAGTAGTTATTTTTGTTTTTTCTTTTTTTTTTTTAGATTCCGATGTCCCATTTCAGTAAATATATGGAAAATCGATTTGGACCTCGTTGTGGAAATTGTATCGTTTGGGCGGGTTTAATACTCGGACAACCACTTTGCATCATGATGTATTATCATGATTATGTTATTAGTCGTTTCGGTGCCTCTTTGATTGGACAATATGGCAAAGTTTAAAATATCCGTGCCATTTACGTGCCTTTCTATAGATTTTAATTTCAGTGTCGTGGTGACGGGCATACCATAAAATATTCAACCATTTATTTAGTACAGAAAAATTATCTATTTATTTCTGTTTATTGAAAAAAAAAAAAAAAAAAAAAATTATTTCCATTTATAATTTTTAGTATAAAATTAATTAAAATATTTAAAATTAAGGTAAAATTATCTTAAATTTTCCTCAAAAAAAAATTTAGGAATTTAAAATTGACCCCTTGTAAAAAAGATACTCATCGATACCCCCAGCATTATTTTCTGATTTAATAATAATAATAATGATAAAATCATTAGTTTTGTAAGGCGAAAAAATATATGAATGGATTAGTATTTGTTTATTTTGTTAAAAAGTTAAAAAAAAATAATTTTTTAAAATTGAAAATTTATTTCTAAAAATATTTTTTTATAAATCATCATTGCATTTTTTTTTATTTTTATTATAAATCTATAGTTTTATTTGTAATATTAAATTATTATTATTATTGATATTTTGTTATAATTTTTTGTTTTTTTTTTTGAGATGAAAAGAAAATGGCGGATAAAAGACTGACTGACTGGTTTTAAAAATATACTTTATTTTTTGGTATAAATTTTAATAGATTATATATATATATATATTTATATTTATTACATTGATTTTTCTTTTTTGTTTATATTTTTATTTGATAAAATAAAGTTTTTATTTTGTAACCTTTTTTTTTTTTTTTATATTTCATTTATTTTTTAATTGAAAATATTACGTATAAATTTATTATTTAAATGTCGATTTGATTTAATTAATTTTATCAAAATTTTATTGATTATTAAATAACCGTTGTTAATAAGTTAAAAACAATTTAAATATATTTTCGTTTCAGTACAGAAAGAAATTTATTCCGCCATGAATTAAAAATGTTTTTCCGCGTAACGATGACGTCATTAATATAACGTAATACATTTTGTATTCAACAATGTTATTATTGCATTTGTAATTGAAAACTAAATTAAAAATAATTTTTTCATTTGTTTAATACGATCCATATCAAATAATAATATCGCAATAAAAATATTTTTAAAAAAATACTAATTAGACATTAAAATCAATTTGAATATTTTTTATTGCTTTAATTAAAACACCAGTGTATTTTTTTTTTTTTTTTTTTTTACGATTCCTTATCACATTCTTTACGTCACTTGACTTCTTAGGAAGAGGAAGTAACTGTCAATTTATACTTCTTTTTTCGATGTTGACGACAATTAGCTAGTTCAAAATTTACTAAAATTTATAAATAATGAAAATTTGGACTTCGGAGTACACATTCAAGTAAGTTTTTTTATTTGTTATTCATTTAAAAACAATTTAAATTCAATGTGTTTAGTCAAAAATTTTTTCATTTCATTATTATTTTGTTATTGTATTGAAAAATCATTTTTAAATTAAATTTTCGGTTTTTTTTTCCCTTCAAAAATGCTTTATTATTATTATCAATATTTTAAGGCTAAACGTTTTTATTCAAGTATATTTGTCATGTACATTATTTTAATGAAAAAAATTATAGATAACCTCAACTGGTTAAACCTGTTACTTTTTTGTTTATTAATATCAAATAAAAAAAATTTGCAAAATTTACTTAATGTTTAAATAACTTGTTTACATTATTAAAACTGTTTAAAACTTTCTTTTTAAAATGATTTTCATTAATTAATTTTGAACATTTTTTAATTAGGGAGTTTTGTTTTTTTTGTTAATTGTTTCTAGCATTTATTTTTTTTTTTTTTTTTTTTAGCCATCCTTGGGAAACAGTTGCACAAGCAGCATGGAGAAAATATCCAAATCCTATGAATACAGCTGTTATAGGTACAGATGTAGTAGAGAGAAAAGTTGTCGATGGAATTTTACATACTCACAGGCTGGTTTCTTCTAAATGGCTTTTTCCAAGTTGGGCTCAACCTGTAAGTATTAAAAATCTATTTATTTTTTTTATAACTGATAAATCTTTTAATATTTATATAAATTTTTATTCTCAAATGGAAATCCTATTAAAACTGAATTTTCATTTTAATACATTCTTAATAATTGAAAAAATGCATGAAAATTGAATAATGATGAAATTGAAACTTTTGATTTTAGTTTGTAGGCTCTACAAATGTCTGCTATGCTAGTGAGCTTTCCCAGGTAGATCCTAAAAACAAAGAAATGATTTTGAAGACAAGAAATGTAAGTTTTTTTTATTTTAAAAATTAATTAAAAGTAATCGAATGGCAAAAAAAAAAAATTTTAATTCTTTGGGAAATTATTATTCTTTTTATAATTAATGCTATAGAATAGACAAAATTTTTCAGACCATATTTGTTACTATAACTAAATCTAAAACTAAAACCTAAACTGGATGAAATGAGTAGTTAAATGAATCATGAATTCTAAATTGTATATTTTTAACAAAAAATAATTAACAGCTTTTTAATCAAACCATAAATCACATTCAAAAAACTAAATCATATTTGCAATGTTTAATTTCAATGATATGTATTTTTTCCCGTAGTGAATCAAAATAAAAAATTGTTTCGACATTTTTTTTTTTCCAGCTTAGCTTATGTAATTATATAGCAGTTGATGAAACTGTGAGGTATATACCTCATCCATCAGATCCTGAAAAAACGTTATTAAAGCAGGAAGCTGTAGTTACAGTTCAAGGAATGCCTCTAACTAATTATGTCGAAGATGTTATGACAAATAGGATATCATTAAATGCGGGAAAAGGACGACAAGCAATTGAATGGGTCATATCGAAAATAGAAGCCGAAGTTCAAGAACTAAAAAACTCTGCTGTAAAAAGCACAGATGAGATAATTCATCAAACAAAAAAGTCAATCGATGATTTTACAAATTCTGCAAAAAAATCAATGGATGAATTATCTTCGGCGGCAAAAAAATCTTTCGATTCCTTTACTAGCCCTCCTAATCAAAAACTACCTAAATTTTAGCAGGAATTTAAAGATGAAAAAAAATAATTATAAAAAATTTATATTTATTAATATTTTTTTTTTTTTTTTTTTTTTTTACTTTGCCTACTCGAAAATTGTTTAGAAATAAAAAAAAATGTGGCAAAAACTAAAGTATTAAGTACTTAATAAATAGAATGTACCGTAGCATAAAATATTAAAAAAATTTGAATTAGATTTGTGCTAATATGCACTTAAATTATTAAAAGTTGCAACTAATAACATAATAAAAAGTAAAAAAATTTATCATACCTGTAAAAAAATTATTGCACACAAATTGTTTACCTATATATTTTTGACCTAATATATTTGTAAAGTATTTTAAATTCACTGTGTTCCTTTAATAAGCAAGAAATATGAATTATAAGATTCTATATTTATTACATTAAGCATTTCACACTATTTCACTCGGTTCTTCAAAGCTTTGTGTACGAAAAGTCAAAATGGATGTATTAATAAAAAGCTAATTCTAACAGCAGAGATGACAGTGTAATAATAATGTCTATTTTTTTGTAAGTATATTAAAAATTTTAATTTTGTTGTCAATTACAAAAATTGTCTTTAATTATTTTTATAGACACCAAATTTAATATATTTTAATTTTTAAAATAAATAAATTCACTATTTCTTGCAGCACATTATAGATGATTAGTTACCAAAGTTCAGTCTTTCAAAAGGTAAAATAAATTTAAAAAATTGTAAAATTAAATATGATTATAAAATATCAATTTTATTATCTGTAAACTTTTCATAAAGTTCATTTACAAGTAGCCATTATTCCTGCAACACTTTCAAAATCAATTTTTTCTGTGATATTTTTAGTTTTAATATTCTCATCTTGATTAGCAATAAACACAGAGGATCCCTGATCTTTCCAGTGATATTTATTTATCCACATTTTGAGTTCTTCAGCTAAAAAACAACATTAAAATTTGAAAAAAAAATAAACTTAAAAGTCATCAAGGAATTTTAGGTAAGTTTACTTACGATAGACACCTCCCAGCAGTAATTGCAATGTATTTTTATCAACTGTTTGATAAGTTATACCAACTACATGACATACAAATTTTCTTATAGAATCATGAAAACCAGTTATCCTGTTGCAGAGATCTGACATGCTTAAAACTTTATTCCAAAAAGTTTGAAAATCGCATCTTTCAAGTATATCTGCCAAAAATATGATGTGGATAATTGGAACTTCTTGACACTGAAAGAACAGGTATGTATAATTAATATAAGTACCAAATACTTAGTAATCATTTTAATTATGCTTTGAATTATTCATCAATACTTGAAAAAAAAACAAAATTTTTTATTTTACCTGTGCTTTAGTAAGCAAACATTTACACAAAACAAAATCTGTGTGAGGTAAATTTGTCAAAGCCTTAAGCAAAATTAGACACGTTATATCAACTTTATATAAATGAGGATTAAATTGATATAATTTTAAAACTGCTAGATTAGCCTCTAAGTCATATGAATTCTCAACGGCTTGCCTTTCAACATAATTTTCTAAAGTAGGTAAGTTTTCTGGATTGTATCTATAAAAAATAAATAAATAAAATAATTCGCCTAATAAAACCTAACCTTTTTTTTCAGGGGTGACAAAACTCATAATTCATTTATACCTTTCAATGCCTCGTAACATTGACGCTATGGTCTGTCTGATAGCTTCTCCCATTTTTGAAAATTTAAAGAAAACGTAATGCTCGATCCTAAAATATTATGGTAAGTTTTTAATATTCAATTATTGGTTAGTTGAACACTATAACGCAATGTTTACTATCTCTATGGAATTCATTTTTTTTTTCTTTTCACAACTTAATTGCATGTGAACCTTGAATTGAACTTCAATTAACATGATATTAATATGTTTTTTATAATAAAGTAACTAATTTTCTTAAAGGAAATAATTGAGAGATATAAAAAAAATATATAAAAAACAAGCGAAATATATCTTATTTATTCGTTTATTTATTTACTAAAAACAATTAATTACGTACATAAGTACATAACAATTATTTTAATTTTCGTAATTTAAAGTTTTAAAAACGATAAAATACTTTTAAATTATTTATTTCCGATGAAACTGCTATATCTTTTGTAAATGTGTGTCAATTTTTAAATATACATTTATCCCCAAGTCTTGTTCTTGCCAGAATTTAAATATTGCAAATACCACATGTAGTTCTGCATTGACCATTTATATTGGTTAAAAAAGTAATTTTTAAATAAGTATTCAAAATAAATAATAAAACAAAAAAATTCATAAATTATCAATTTAACTGAGATTTAAGAAAAATTTATTTAATCAAAAAAAGAGTTTAAAAGTAATCAAGTTACAGAGATATTCGTGAATGTACACAGAAAATTATCAGGAAAGAGCGACCAATTATTATTTCAATTTAAAAAATCTTAAATTGCAATTTAAATACATTTATTACATTATATACAATGCATGGACTAATTTGTGTAATGTTAAAAAGATATGCATAGAAATATATTTTTAAAATAAGTTTTATTCCTTTTTACATTTTCATATTATATTTTATTGGGGAAAAAAAATTAACTGTTTAGTGGCAAATAAATCTGCTGCAATTAGCTACAAATAATCTTGATACAATTAAATAATTATTTTAATAATATTTATAAAATAATTATCCTACAATTATTTTGTCTTCGATAAATTCATAAGGTGGCACTTCTAAATTAGTTGGAGCCGGGCCTTTCCTTATTCTACCTGAAGCATCATAATGGGACCCGTGACAAGGGCAATAATAACCATTCCAATCTCCTGAATATATAAAAATAAATTATTACTTTAAGCTCTAATAAAAAATATTAATAATAATATTAATAGTAATTTTTTACCATAACTTTATGTATAATTAAGAATGCTTTGTTGTGAAATTAAAAAAAAGATGAATGCTTACCCTGGTTAGGAATGGGCACACATCCTAAATGAGTGCAAATTCCAACAACAATTAACCATTCTTTATCTTTAACTCTTGCATTGTCTGGTTCTGGATCTCGTAAAGTAGATACATCAACTGCTTCTTCTTTCGCTATTTCTTCTGCAGTTCTATAATTAATTGAATTTAAAAAATATTTTGAAGCAAATAATGAATCAGAAAATTAGCTTGTAAATTTAATTACCTATGTCTGACAAACAATGGCTTGCCTCTCCATTTAAAAGTAACATTTTTCCCTTCTGGAATTTGACTTCTATCAATTTCAATTTTAGATAAAGCCATAACATCAGCAGAGGGGCTTATAAAAGCAGCTGCTCTAACTGCTAGAGATTTAGCTGCATAAGCAACAGCTGCTCCTCCAACAGCACAAATAGCAGCAGTGTTAAACTTATCTTCATCTTCAGCATCCCTACTTCTAGCATCAAGACTTTTACGCCTTTCTTTTCTGTACTCAGTAAAATCAGGTGTTTTAACATCAGTATGATTGAATCTTACACTGAAATTTGCTGAAACATAACACTCTTTATATAAAATTTGAAATAAAATTTTTAAAAAATGTATGCATTCTAAAAAAATATTATTATTAATAAATTATTGGAAAAAAAAGCAGGGCATACTTTAAGTAGTTTAATTATGTATGTACAATTTTTTTTTTTTAAAAGTTTTATTTTAGGTATTTTGTAAAAATTTGAGAAAATGCAAAAATTATAAGTGCATCGAAGAGAACTGACTAAAATAAAAAAAAAATTGAAGCAAATTGTTAAAAATATTAATATGCAAATTTTTAATAATTGATAATGATGATATTATAGGTATATATATAAACCAAATTAAGCAAATTTTTTTTTAAAAACTATAGATAAGCTTTATTTATTTTTAATTACCTGCTGGACCAGAAACAACTGTCATTTTCTTAGTGGGTAGGTTATAGGCTGAAGAGTAAGCAGTCATTCTCACTCTAGGAGTAATGTATT